GAATCATGTGAACATACCAACAACAAAACAATGCTAGGATGAAGGGTCATCATCTAATACATATATACCACTTTGTTGGTGATCTGCTGTTGCACAATCACAATCAAGCCATAAGAGTTTTTAGTGCACTGACCCAACCCTTAAAGATCATAAAATGGACCTGAAAAAGAAGAAAATGAAAGAGCTGAGGTTGGTTGCCATTTGAATCAAAATGTGAATGCAAAACAAAGAAATTAGTTAGAAAAACGCACCAGTCTATGTCAATTTCTGGGATGTGAGCAATCTTGGACCAGTCCTCACCTGTTTCTTTCTGGCATCTTTGCTTTAAGATGGGGCAATCTACAATTGTCAACCTTTTTAATGAGGCGAGGCAACGAAGCCCTTCTGGGAGTGATGCCAAATTAGGACACTTTGAAATATGCAGTCTCTGTAAGGAGATGAGGCTACCCATCCCTTGATCTGGTAGTGATACCAAATTAGGGCAACGATCAATTGAGAGCTCTTGGAGTAATGTGAGGTTTCCAATCCCTTCTTCTGGCACATATTCTATATCCTCAACGTCCCTAATCTCCAGATATTTTAATTTGGATGAGGGAAGGACATTCCAGCTGCTTCTCCATAAATCCAGTCTATCAAGATTTGGGTACAGCGGCATGGAAGTTAGGTTAGGACAATTCTCTATCTCTAAAGAAGAAAGACAAGGAAATGAAGAAGCCGAAGCTGTTTCATTCCTCCACCATCCCTTGAGATTAGGGCAATCAGTTAGACGAAGACTCTCTAAGGAGGGAAAGAAGGTCGTCGATGGAGAAGCAGCTGACATCATCATCATCTCATCACCGGCAAAGTCCTTAACCTTGTCTTCTGCTGATATGTGCTCCAAATTCCTTAACCCCAAAAGCACAAGACTCTTAAGAAAAGGTAAATGATCCAACGGTGGAAGATGTTGGCATCTATCACAGTCATACAATCCGAGATTAACAATATTTGTGAGAGAATGAAACCAACTCGCAAACCTCGCACCCATATAGTTCAGCAAGGTTAACTGTTTTAGACTTGAATGGGGCTGCAGCGCTTCCATTGACTTAATAATTACATCACTCTCCTCCTCAACCGCATCACTATTTTCTCTTTCGATTTGCATCCAATGTAAAGTCAACGAATAGAGATGTCGTTTCTCCTTCAAAACTGCACCATCATAATTCAATTCTGACACTATATCTTTCTTGTACCCCAAATTTCTGATCTCCAACTTTCCTCTTAAATCTTTCAGCTTCCCCAACTCACTGAGCCCTGCACTGTCCCTCAACATGGAATTGTTTTTGCTCAAAACAAATTTACTCAAAGTACGAAGACGAGTCAATTCACCCAATCCAGGAGGAATTCGAGCCAATTTATAACAGAATTCCAAAATCAGATGCCTCAAGTTGATCAATTTCTTGATATCTCTAGGCAATTCCACAAGAGACTGACACCATTTGAGATCTAGTGTTTCCAAATTTTGAAGTTCGACTATCCAATTTGGAAGTCTCTCAATGGGATTAAAACTAAGATCAAGATATCTTAAATGTTTCATTTTCCTAAGACATTTTGGCAATTTTGTAATTCCCAATCCATTCAAACTCAACATACGCAATGACTTAAAATTTGAAGCAATTGTAGCACAAAATGAATTATGGAATGACTCCTTCCACAAATGTTGGCTTAGGAAAAGAAAAGTCCTTAGCTTATGTGATTCCAGCAAGGATGTCGGTATTTTCCATTCCAGCGAATCAACATCAAAATCGAAAGATACATGAAGAAGACGTTTTCCATCAAAATCAGTCTTATTGTGATCTATAATTCTGCTTCCCTCCCCTGCCACTTTAACAGCAAGTTCATTCATGAGATCATGCATTTTACAGCTTGTTATTATACCAAACTTATCTTTTTCTTCTTCTTGGAAAAAAGATCTCCAAACTAGTTCGTTATAATATTCATAACCAACATCTTCCAAGCACTCATTAGGATTTGAAGACTTAACGAACCCTTGTGCCACCCATAACTTAATTAATTTCTTTACGGGGATCTCATAATCAGGCGGGAACAAACTACAATAAGCAAAACA